TGAATAGTAATGCTTTAATCCAGGAGAATGATATGGATCATGGTGTGAGGCAGCAGACAAGTAGTCAGATTCCCGAAAAATTATGTCAACTTTAAAGGATAATATGATGTCAAATGTCCAAGAAGAATAATTTTGATTCTAGAAATCAGGACTCCCAAGGGAACGTGTTATTCACAGCTGTACACTACACAGACACATCATTTATTCATGCCGAAATCTAATTTGGTTATTAGGCATTCCATTGATGAAACAGTTAACAAGGCAATTTTCCAGGTGGGTATATGGCCAATCTCCAGATATCTCCTCTGAACATCTTATTGAAAACATTTCGGATTTGTCCCGGATTCTTCTCATTACTCATACTATAAACGGTAAAGAATATTGCTAAATTGAAAACTGACTTAACCCCCCCTCCCCCATTAGTTTTGAAATGTAATAGTAAATTACTATCTATTGTATAAGTATTGATCTGTTACATCTGATAATGAGACTTATACACTGTTGAAACAATCCCAATCCCAGTGTTCTTATACTTTTCGACAGGACATCTGATCTGTGAAAAACATCTTTATACCTTACATTAAACAGAAATGTTATCAACGCATTCATGGACCTACCGCATATTTAGTAAAATTCCCCACCTAAAACGACCTGGAAAGTTAATGAAAACACTTTTCCAACAATTAAAGGTATACTCTAAGAGCAAAAAGCACTACATTTGGGGGCGGGGCTTAACCACGGACCCGATCAGACGCCATTTCCAGAAGCTCCTCTGCCTACAACCCTAATCCTGCCGGTATCGGCAATACTAAGCACAATCCAGCCACAACACTCACCGAACCGGATCCAGTAGGGCAAGAGGAACCGACTGATGCCTTTCTTCCAGGCACCAAAAACAACAAGGAGGAAGCACAGGTCTGAGGCCTACCGAGCACTCCACAGCCTGGAAGGAATCCTGGGAAGCCTTACCGCGAGCGGAGCAGACAACCCGCAACCCCAGAAACCGCCAGCCTCACCAGCACCAATGTCAGGCAAAGGTAGGCGCTCTCAAAAGCCCCAAAATCAGACGGAAGGTCGGGATATAGGGGCCATGTTTCAGAGGCCCGCCCAACTCAGACCCACTCCCGCGGAAGATATGCAAGTTAGGGACATGGGCACAGCAGCAGGCCATGACAGACCTGGAAACTCACAATCTCCGCACACCCCTCAAGCTGAGCAGCATGAACAGCCAGATGACTCAGCACCCACCACAAAGAGGGATTTAAAACTTCTTCTGGCAGAAATCCACAAGCTACTAGCGGCGGACTCCGCACTACTCAAAACGGAGGTACAGGCAGTCACTGCGAGAGTGCAAACCTCAGAGGAGGAAATACTAACATTACAAACCCACTTAACCTCCGTGGATACCTCAATACAAGAGCATCAAGCCCAAATCCAGACCCTGTCACTGAGACTTGCTACCCTTGAAGACTGCCAGAGGCGTACACATATCAAGATCAGGGGCATCCCCTCAGCGGTCACGGCGGCAGAACTGCCACACTACATTAGAAGACTGCTGACAACAGTCATGTCTCACACTGTGGCCAAACGAATAAACATAGACAGTGTATACCGTCTTCCAAGCCCGACTCACCGCACAACAACATTGGCACGAGACGTCATTCTAAGATGCGCTACGCTACCTGATAAGCTTCAAATCATGGCGGCAATAAAAGATAAAGCACCACTCACATTCGAGAACTCAAGCCTCGCATTCTTCCAGGACCTTACAAGGGCCACCCTCCAGATCCGTAAAAGCTATAGGCCTGTCACAACCCAGCTGAGAAATGCAGGACTGGCTTACCGCTGGGGAGCGAACGGCTCCTTAGTAGTGACTCAAAATGGGACTACACATATGCTACCGAATTTGGGAGCTGCACATACTTTTTTGAGTACACTGGGGGTTGAGCACCCGACCGCACCTTCAACCTCCGAACACCAGGCGACCTCATGGGACCCCGCTTCCATCACACCATTCACCCCGAGAGAGAGGAACCCACGGCCAGAAACACCGTGACTGCAGGGTGCAAACTCCCGAGGACCACCTCTTTAACCCAATTTTATTCCAGTTTGTGTTCGTAGTTGATTTAATTGTTTATTAATTTTGATTTAAGAGTGTATGGTACCCTCTCGCCCAAATATGGATACACCACACAGTGCCCTCACGGACCCGAGCTCGGCACAGGCAAGGGCAGATTAGGCTGACAAGCATATACACTAGCACCAAATGGCGTACTTTACCACCACACCCCCCTCCCCACGGCCCCCCTGGGTCAGGGGCCCACAGCGTGGTTGCATATCCCTTTACTTTAACACTACATTATCATGAGCGCAAATGCTCACGGTACTCGTGATCAGCCACCACCTCTACAACCTGTAACTAGCATGACACGTTATATTTTATATTTTATACATGACAAAATGCCTGTAACCCGCACACCCAAACCTAAACACGCACCACCTCAGGGCATAGGTCATAAACAATGCACACAGGGACCGCAATCAGAGCAAAACATAAACAGAAACTCATTATTGAATGACCTCTCTCTAGCAGTCCCTCAACAAAGTCTAAGCATGTACTAAAAAAATTTGATGCTGTTTTAAAAAAGGACTACCGCACCAGTTCTCAGAGTAATGCTAAACTCACTGTTATACATGTCATTGAACCATGTTTTTCCATTTTTCTTGTGTCTAATCTTATGAAGTATGCCAATTACCCAGTGGAATGTTGTTAAAACAAAGCATCTTGAAAATTAAAGAATTTAAAAAAACAAAAAAGCACTACATTTTATTGTAGTGGATTTGGTGTATAGCTACTATCTCTTTTCTCTGGCAATAAGAAACGCAAATGTTTTCTAGGGGTCGTACACACTGGGCATCATCACGTAGCATCATGTCAGCATGATTATTGGTAAGTATAATGGCATGTTTT